ATTAGACGGGCTGACTACAGAGCGTGTAATTTCCAGATAAGCGGTGCGCCTTCGATTCTTCCCTCCAGAGGGAGGGGGCAATCCAACCGGTTCCAAATATAAAACCCCTTGTGGGCCTATCGCTCTAACGGTATCAGTCGTTCCTGAACCTGGGCTCACACTCATCGACGGGGCATCCCGGTACTTACTACGTAAAGCCCGACGATCTCCTGGGCAAAGCAGCCCAGTGGTGCCGAGATGAAGGGATGTCCACACAGAAGTTAAGGGGTGCTGCCGTAGAGAACGTTGGTAAAAAGTTTACCGTCTCAAATCTCTGCGCCAGCTTCCGTGCGATGAGGTTCCCTGACCCAATGCATCAAAGATGTAACTGAGTAAACTTGCAGAAGTCAGACACAGAGAGATGGATTCAGGTTTTCAGGAAGTAAGAGGTCTCTATTAACATACCGATCGGGTCTCATATGAACTAACGTTCCAAAACAGGTCTAAGGGCCTAACACATGGAGTACATGCTTTTTATAGAACTATAACTCCTACCATTAATAGCTCCACCCGCACATACCCTTAACCAATCGGTGGACAGGATTTGGATTTCCTTATATGGGCAGACGACATGGCTCATCCGAAACAAAGGAGAAAGGAATGTGATTTCAGTTCCTGCATTCCTGCACATGCTCAGTACATTGATGATAGTATCTTAGCTACATGTAACTAACTAACTGATACAACATACACATATGCCAAGTGGAAATCTCGGTCTACTAAATTTACATTTCATCGAAATTCCATCACATTATTCATTTTATATCCCAGCTCTACACTTTTTCTAGTGCTATAATATCATTATTTAGAATAAGTGCCCGAAATTGCACAGTACATTCAAGGTGTGGTCTTACCAATTATTTATAAAGAGGTAACATTTCCATCCTAACAATAAATGTCCCTATTTATCCATGAGAATGCCTTACTAGCTTTAGCAATTGCCGGTTGACATTGCTCATTGTGGCCTAGCTTGTTTTCTATAACAATACAGAGAAGTTAAGCTTACAGGTCTATAATTTTCAGGCAAGGATTTTGAACCCTTTTTTTGAATATAGGAACCACATCTGCCTTCCTACAATCTTCTAGTACAATTTCTGAAAGAAAAGAATATTGAAAGATAAAATACTGAGGTTCGCTTATTTCCACATTTAGCTCCTTAACCCCTTAAGCCAAATGTACACGTTGTGAACAAAACAAAACGTAAACAAAACCTGGCATTTGCGCTACATGTCTGTCCAACCGTAATTAACCTCTTTCATATTAAATGCACCCACCCTTATTATATATGATTTTATTCATGGGAAAAAGGGCTTTCATTTAATATCAAATATTTTGCTATGAAACATAATTTAATATGAAAAAAATGGGAGAAAATAAGAAATGTTGTTATTTTTTTAGTTCTACATGACATTTTAACTGTCAATGTCATAATAATGTTTGCTTTTACTGCAATAAAATACACATATTTGTATTCAGCAAAGTCTCATGTGTAAAACAGTACCCCCTATGTACAGGTTTTATGGTGTTTTGGGAAGTTACAGGGTCAAATATAGCACATTACATTTGAAATTGAAATTTGCCAGATTGGTTACATTGCCTTTGAGACTGTATAGTAGCCCAGGAATTAAATTTACACCCATAATGGGATACCATTTGCAATATTAGACAACCTAAGGTATTGCAAATGGGGTATGTCCAGTCTTTTTTAGTAGCCATTTGATCACAAACACTGGCCAAATTTAGCGTTAGTATTTGTTTGTGTGTGAAAAATGCAAAAAACGCCAATTTTGGCCAGTGTTTGTGACTAAGTGGCTACTAAAAAAGACTGGACATACCCCGTTTGCAATACCTTGGGTTGTCTACTATTGCAAATGGTATGCCATCATAGGGGTAATTTTCATTCTTGGGCTACCATAGGGTCTCAAAGGCAACGTAACCAATCTGGCGAATTTGAATGTGAAAAAAATGAAACACAAGCCTTATATTTGACGCTGTAACTTTTGAAAACACCATAAAACCTGTACATGAGGGGTACTGTTGTACTCGGAGACTTCGCTGAACACAAATATTTGTGTTTCAAAACAGTAAAAAGTATCACAGCAATAATATCGTCCGTGTAAGTGCTGTTTGTGCGTGAAAAATGCAAAAAAGTCACTTTTACTGGCGATATCATCATTGTAATACATTTTACTGTTTTGAAACACTAATATTTGTGTTCAGCGAAGTCTCCCGAGTAGAACAGTACCCCCCCATGTACAGGTTTTATGGTGTCTCGGAAAGTTATAGGGTTAAATATAGTGCTAGCAAATTAAATTCCCTTTACTTTCGGCATGGGTTGTCAGGCAGGTCCCGCTAATTGTAATTAATTAAAATACCTAGTTATGTAAAAATATTACATAAATATATATGTAGAATTAATATATGTGTGTATATATATATATATATATATATATATATGTGTGTTTTTTAAAAATATTTTTATTGATATATAGGTATATATAGTGATATATACGTATATATTTATGTATATAGATATATTATTTCGTTCTGCTTGTATTTTGATATAAATATATATATTAATTTCACAATACAGTTAGAACGAAATAACACACAACTATATATTTTTTATTTATTTTTTATTTTTGTAATTTTATTTTTTTAACGTATTTACATATTTATTTTTTTATATTATATATAAATATATATATATAACAATAATTATATATATTTAATCAGTATCAGTCTACGTGTAATTTTAACAAGGAGAATTAAAAGCCTCTCTCCCTGATAATCTAACTAGACAGGCATATAAACAGAGGGTAGAAAAGTGAAAATCAAAAGAATCAATAAATCAAATGAAAGTCATAGTGCTCAATCTATCCAAATCCATATAAAGGTGTGGTACCCAATCCTAAATATCAGCTTAATCAACAGGTGTATATGCTACTTGGAAGGGATCAATAAATTATTTGATTTGATTCTTTTGATTTTCACTTTTCTACCCTCTGCTTATATGCCTGTCTAGTTAGATTACCAGGGAGAGAGGCTTTTAATTTACCTTGTCAGCATTTTAGACACTGACTTTCTCACTATATACTGCATTCTCTCCCTAGCATATATTATGGACAATACTCTCTCTTCCTACCTCTGTCTGCCATTTAACTCTATAGATGCTTATTTATGACTGAGGGTCTGGGACTGTGCTTAGATTAATATAGCACTTTACTATGCATAAGATGTGTTTCTTATTACTAGCACAGTACAGATTTTTATAAGATAAGGCAGAGCAGTAGTTAGAGTTAATCTGCAAATAGCTCAGTGTTAGGGAATAGGTTTGGGATGGATCCCCTCCTATGTAGCATATACACCTGTTAATAAAGCTTTTATTTAGGATTGGGTATCACACCCTTATATGGATTTGGATTGTTTCCCTACATGGTGTCTATTTTTGTCTTGCATATTAGTAAAGTTAAGGATAAGGGAGAGCAATTCCGTACCGCATTTGCTACACAATATAATACAGATCATTTAAAAATCAAGAAAAGTCTACAAAAACACTGGCCAATCTTATTAGAGGATCCTTTGCTGGGAGAGATATTACCAAAAAAAACAACATAAATTTTTTTTTAAAAATAAAAATCTAAAAAATTTCCTAGCTCCAAGTTATGCCATAAAACAAAAATGTGAGTTGAACGAGGGACAAAAAGGTTTTCAAGGTTGCAAGAGATGTAAGGCGTGCTCAACAATAACTGTAGGTGGAAATACACACTTTACTAGCAAGATAACAAATCAAACTTTTGCAATAAAAAGCAAGATTGGTTGCCTCACAGACTATGTGGTATATTTACTGCAGTGTCCGTGTGGCAAACAATATGTTGGCCGTACAAAAAGATTTTTTTAAAGTCAGAACAATGGAACATAATAATATCAAAAAAGGGCTATTATCCCATTCAGTACCAGTTCATTGTAACTCATGTCCAGCATTTAATTTGAAGGAATTGATATACATAGCAATAGAAAATGTTCCTCCACATTGGAGGGGTGGGAACAGAGAGCAAAAATTAGCCCAGAGAGAAACATTCTGGATCCATAAATTAGACTCTTGCACCTGCAGGACTGAATGTTGATATAGATCTGGTGTGTTTTCTAAACTAATGTAGGGATTGGGATAAGATCATAATATTAAAATATTAAAATATTAAAACATTGAAAGGTTCCTGAGATGAAAAGCTCAGTTTTTTTGGGGGGGAGGGGTGGAGGCAATTCACATTGTGAGAAAAAGGATTGAAACCAAATAAACCAAAATAATGAGATTCTTAATAACTTTTCCTTATAAATAAATTATATATTAAAAGAATTATGTAGCAATTTTGAAAAATTCATCAAAGCACCAATTTGGGGAAAAAAATAGATATATGTATATATAAAAATAATTATTTTCGTTTTATTTCCTCTTCTAAATAACTGGAACAAAATAAATAAATTTGGCTCTATTATTTGGGGTGAAGTATATGTGATGTGAAGCCCAAATATACACCAATACACAATGGTCCACAAAAGTATATATTGATAAACAACATTAAAATAAGAAATAAAAATCTATGGCAATATCAGTCTGAAAGTCCCTGATCTTGTCAGATCTTAGATGCCATCCAGACTTGGGCCTGGTTAGCACTTGTATGGGAGACCTACTAGGAACCTCAGGTGCTGTAACGGGAAGTATAAAATGAACATCACCCATCATATAGATCAAATTAGTTTTATAATAACTAAATTGGACTATTGTTTGTTGGTGAATAAAATGGGAATAAAGTTTATATGTTTAATTGTAACATGAATTGTTAATTCAACTCTGGCATTGTTTTCTTTTTTGCATATAATGAAATCATTGATAAATATGCACAAAGTGTATTACTTTCTGGCCACCACCAGATGGCAACATAACAAGTTCTAAGTGGAACAAAATGGAATGCATGGCCATTTTTAAATAAAAAAAAAATAAATAAATAAAAAAAACAAAAACAAAAAACAAACAAACAAAAAAACAAAAACGGAAGTGCATCATAAAAAGAAGACACTGACCCATACAGGAAGTGTGTCATCGGAAATGGACACTTAAAATGCAGTGAAAAAAACGGAATGAAAATCAGAACAGCTGAAACAACAGATGGAGGTAATTTACCAATGGATGAGATGTCCAATAGAAGAGGAAAAGGAGAGTACGCCCATCACACCACCAATGGACTTCCAGCACTTATTGTATTTAAGGAATGGGAAGGGAGGGAAGCAATAGGCTTATGGATACACTTGTTAGTATTTGGAGTGTATAAACTGTATGTTTTTAAAATTTTGGTTCCTGAAGAAGTTTCCTAAGGGGAACGAAACGCGTAGAACCATATTTTAATTTAATTTTACTATATGCCAATAAATCCATTGTTTTCTACTTTCAACCATTGGGAGAGTGTGAACGTCTTGGTCTCCAGATTGGCGTTACTACAAACGAACAGGACCTACCCCCCTACCTATAGGGGTGGCAACCTGAAGGCTTACTATATACAACAAATCTGTGAGTGTAACCTTGAACCATTGGGCAATTAATAAGACCACAACAGTATTACGCTATGTTGTATTTTTTTATTTATATTTTAGTGATACAAGCTGGATCCCTATTCCATATGTACCATACAATATACAGTAATACCTATATTACTACATATATATCCAGGGGATGCAGCTGATCTCGTAGCTTTGTAGGCACTGAGACTAGTGGCATCAACTTCTTGTTTGTTTTTTATATCTAAATATATCTGTTTTCTTCAGTAAATAGTAAAGATTAATCTATGACTGTAGACTTGCAAATCCATGTTACAAAAGCCTTACAGCAAACAGGTGACTGGTTATTATTATTATTATGTTATTTATATAGCGCCAACAAATTCCTCAGCGTTTTACAGTGGGTGGACGAACAAACATGCAGTTGTAACCAGACAAGTTGGACACACAGGAACAGAGGGGTTGAGAGCCCTGCTCAATGAGCTTACATGCTAGAGGGAGTGGGGTAAAGTGAAAAGTCTTGAAGGCGAGCATTAGAGGTGGGAGTACGGACAGAAGTCGTTTTTTTTTTGTTTTGTTTTTAAACAGGCTACAATGTAACTATGTAACCTCACCTGACTGTAACTCACAAAACCTCCCTACGCACTTCCTGAAAAAGAGTACATTTTAATATATTGCATATTGTGTTTAATTTAGAATTCTCTTTCCATGCTAATTTCCTGCTAGATACTACAGCATCCTCTTGTGTGTTTTTAAAGTGACATAACAGGAGGTAAAAACGTCTTAGCACACTATGTGAAAATGAAACCTGTTTACTGAGGCTGTGTGAGTCTTAGCCAGGAGAGGTGTGGCCAGAGATGCATTAAAAAAAAAATGTACTGGAGGTGCAATATCTATAAACCAAGACTGCTACATTATGCTCTTAAGTTAAAGAGACTATAGTCACCAAAACAGCTTCAGCTTAATGAAGCAATCTTGTATATAAATCATGCCCATGAAGATTAACTGCTTAATTATCTGCCATTCAGGAGTTAAATCACCTTTTTTTTTTTCCTGTTGTTTTTGCAACCATAGCCACACCTCCCCAGGCTGACACACGCATAGTCTGCATGAAAAAAAAAATAATGGTTTCAGCTACAGTTAGATGTTAACTTACTTTAGAAGTTTTGTATCTCCTGCTCTATAAATTGAACTTTAATCACGCACAGGATGCTCCTGCAAGGTCTAGAAATCTATTAACAGGGCATGAGACAATAAATTCTAAATGAAACAGAATGTGCAATAAAGGAAGTGTAAACATTTTTAGATATTACTTTATAAGCTGTGTAAATCAGCCATGAATGGTGTGACTAGGGCTGCATAAACAAATTGATTTAACTCATAAATAGCAGAGACTTGAGCAGTGAGACTGTAGGGGCATGGTCTATACAACAAAACTGCTTTATTAAGCTAAAGTTGTTTTGTTGCCTACAGTATCCCTTTAAAAACTATTCATATTAAACCTAGTGTTATGTATATCAGATGCACTTAAAAACAGAACATATAATAGCAGAGAATTCTGTATTTGTGCAGTATGGTTTACATTGCATGTGTTCAAAGCACCATCTAGTGAGTAAATTTGAGAACTGCAACTTGGAACCTTTTGGACAAAGAGGAAAAAAGTGTTTACAGTGTGTGTGTGTATATATATATATATATTCTGCCCACCCAGAATCCTTTGCGGTTGTAACATCACTGCTGATTTGGGATTTCTGTGGGAAAAGCAAGTCTTATGGCTTGACTGGTGTGCAGATTTTTGTTTAGCATTGTATTAACTATATATATATATATATATATATATATATATATATATATATATATATATATATATATATATATATATATATATATATATATATGTGTGTGTGTTTATAAATTGGTCATAAAATGTGATCTGATCATTGTCACATCAAGGGTGTATAATTTATTATTACACTATGGAATATGATCCTTTAATGTAATTTGTGTAGTAAATGGCACAAATTACAGTGATGCTATTGCTGAGGTCAAAAGGGGTTACATCTTTTGAAGCTCGGACCCCCACAGAGGTCAGATGACAGAAGGGGTAGTATGAATGGCATAGGAATGTGAAAAGGATTTTACTATATGGATGTGAAGTAATCAAGGCTCTGCAAGGTGTGAGGTTCTACACTTGGAAAAAGTCTGAATGTCTCTTCATCCATTTGGCATGTACCTTGTAAAGGATAGTTCAATCCTTTGATGGTAATGGGATTAGTTTCATGACCATCCTTGTGTTCCAGTATTTTATCCAAGTGAAACATTAATACTTACCCACAGGTTAATAATTAAGCCTCATTTTTATTATATTTGGAATGGTACAAGCCCAATCTCTTAATTAAGCCTAAACATGAGTTGCACAACTTAAACCGTGTGGCAGGCATTGTGATGTCCGTCCTATTGGATCATGGGCGGGGCGTGCAACATGTCTATGGAATGGGAAAACAATAACAAATTCACAGAGGCAATTATTATTTCTGTGGCAAGTACAGTAGAGGAGATAAAACCAAAAGTTTGTATGTGGCTTGTTGTTTTCTGGAACAAAGGAGGTGGTCACTTAGTATCCCTATTGCTCCACCCCTGGGTGACGCGTGGCAATTCACAGGGTATATCTCCTGTGATCCTGAAGGTTGTTTGTGTACTTGCTTGGGGCCAAGATCTAATTTTGAGTGAGTCACCATCTTTCCTTGCCAGAGACCCCCTGGACAGAAGTTGGACTTTGAAAACCTAAGTGAGTAATTAGGACTTCTGTATTTTATCCTTTTTGTTTTTATCCGTTGTTGGTGTAAATAATTTGTTTATCATATATTGTTATATGCACTGTGACTATCTTTGCTCATAATAAACATTAATTTATTAAGTTTTGCCTTTGTCTGGTTAAGAATCACGTTACCTGAAGAGACTAGTTAGTATTTTTATAATTCCTTAAATATTGTGCTAAGTAATATTTGGTGGGTCTTATTATTGATTTACCTGGGGGACCAAGGCACCCCATTTATAAATTGTCTTGGTGGTGGCAGCGTTAAAGTAGTAATAGTTATATTATTATGTTTAAGTGTGGGTGGTGTAAAAAGGGGGATTTTGTCATTATTTCCGGTCTAGTGCAGACAAATAGTGAACTTTAACCCTTTCACCACCACAACTACGTCACGCACACTCTTGGAGTAGGATGCGTTCATGACAATCATCATCTAAGTCACAACAATAGACAATCAGTCTGCTTAAATTAATAACACACAAAGAATGAAATGTTGCCATGTTTTTATTGAACACACCATGTAAACATTCACAGTGCAGGTGGAAAAAGTGAACCCTTGGATTTAATAACTGGTTGAACCTCCTTTGGCAGCAATAACTTCAAATAAACGTTTCCTGTAGTTGCAGATCAGACGTGCACAACGGTCAGGAGTAATTCTTGACCATTCCTCTTTACACAACTGTTTCAGTTCAGCAATATTCTTGGGATGTCTGGTGTGATCATTTTCTTGAGGTCATGCCAGAGCATCTCAATCAGGTTGAGGTCAGGACTCTGACTGGGCCACTTCAGAAGACGTATTTTCTTCTGTTTAAGCCATTCTGTTGTTGATTTACTTCTATGCTTTGGGTCATTGTCCTGTTGCGACACCCATCTTCTGTTGAGCTTCAGCTGGTAGACAGATGGATTTAAGTTCTCCTTGATAAACTTGGGAATTCATTTTTCCTTTGATAGCAATCCGTCCGGTTTCTGACACAGCAAAGCAGCCCCAAACCAATACTTCACAGTTGGGATGAGGTTTTGATGTTTGTGTGCTGTGCCTTTTTTTCACCACACATAGTGTTGTGTGTTTCTTCCAAACAACTCAACTTTGGTTTCATCTGTCCACAGAATATTTTGCCAGTACTGCTGTGGAACATCCAGGTGCTCTTGTGCAAACTGTAAAGGTGCAGCAATGTTTTGTTTGGACAGCAGTGGCTTCCTCTGTGGTATCCTCCCATGAAATCCATTCTTCTTTAGTGTTTTACGTCTTGTAGATTCGCTAACAGGGATGTTAGCATTTGCCAGTGACTTTTGTAAGTCTTTAGCTGACACTCTAGGATTCTTCTTCACCTCATTGAGCAGTCTGCGCTGTGCTCTTGCAGTCATCTTTACAGGACGGCCACTCCTAGGGAGAATAGCAGCAGTGCTGAACTTTCTCCATTTATAGACAATTTGTCTTACCGTGGACTGATGAACAGCAAGGCTTTTGGAGATACTTTTATAACCCTTTCCAGCTTTATGCAAGTCAACAATTCTTAATCGTAGGTCTTCTGAGAGCTCTTTTGTGCGAGGCATCATTCACATCAGGCAATGCTTCTTGTAAAAAGCAAACCCAGAACTGGTGTGTGTTTTTTATAGGGCAGGGCAGCTGTAACCAACACCTCCAATCTCATCTCATTGATTGGACTCCAGTTGGCTGACATCTCACTCCAATTAGCTCTTGGAAATGTCATTAGTCTAGGGGTTCACATACTTTTTCCACCTGCACTGTGAATGTTTACATGGTGTGTTCAATAAAAACATGGCAACATGTCATTCTTTGTGTGTTATTAGTTTAAGCAGACTGTGATTGTCTATTGTTGTGACTTAGATGACGATCAGATCACATTTTATGACCAATTTGTGCAGAAATCCATATCATTCCAAAGGGTTCACATACTTTTTCTTGCAAAAAAATATATATATATATATATATATATATATATATATATATATATATATATATATATATATATATATATATATAATTTGCTCATTCCAGTCAATTACCTGTGGAAGCTGAAATAAATTTTATAGAGAATTT